ATAGATAGATAGATAGATAGATAGATAGATAGATAGATAGATAGATAGATAGATAGATAGATAGATAGATAGATAGATTCAATTGTGGACTTATTTATTCCAAGAAAACAATTGCACAATTATTAACACACAATAAGAGGAAAAAAAAACTTTTTATGGGAGTCAGAGATTGAAAAGTAGAAACCTGTTAGACTGTTCGGTCTTTTGGCATTTACTCTAAAAACTTACTCTAAAAAGTGTTCTAGTAGTTGTGACTGTAGCTCTATGATTCTCATAAGTTACTGACTCCTAATGCAATAAATCTAAAAGAGTTTGATTCTTTTGGTGTATTTGAATGATCGGGTCACATCAACATAACAGGTTTGGCAAAGTTACAATAACACCATGACTGATGGCTTGTTGCCAGTATTAGCTACAAATGGAATGAATGCCTTAAAAGGATCCACGAACGGAGTTACAGCTGTTTGCCACACCCTGAACGACAGGCCTACCTTTACAAAAGGGAATGCAGGTCCCGGCTTTAACGGATCGCTTTCATGTTCCACCTGAAAAGCGACGTACTTCTCCACTCCTTCATCCACGAAGATTTTCCTCTCTGCCACCATGTTGAAGAGGGTGCGAGAGGAGACGGCGATGGTTACCGCATTCTGGGGTTTGGGCTGACACAGACAGAGGAACCCAGAAAAACCATTACCGATACTTAAACCATACTACTTTAAAAGTCATAATGATAGAGATAAGTAAAAACAGTTTATTGACAAACTCACCGGCCTCGGTGCTTTTGTCTTTAGACTCTCAAAGAAAGCTTTAGCTGCTTCCCAGTCTTGTTCCTCTTCATTTTTATCGGTTGCTGTTTTATCCTCTGGTTTAATTTCGCTCATTTTTAAAAATAAATAAAACTGAAGTGAATCGAAATAAAATCTAAACGAAACTCAACTAAGTAGCGTGCAGTACGCTACAGTTACCCTGTTGCACCTACTAAACTTTACGGAAGTGTAAGTAAGGAAGCCCGGTGGGAGTTCCCATAGTTCCTACCAACAGTGACGCAAGTTGTCATGGCAACGTGGTTGTTGACTACATAGACATAATATAAGGATGCTTATATTATGTCTATGGTTGACTACCACAGTAACACGTTCTGTCGACGGCTGTGTACAACTACTGTAGTCACCAAAAATAAACTAGCTTCTTATTTATGAAATAGCCTAATAATGAATAACTGTTGCAGAAGAAGAACCTTGTGCAGGCGAAACTGATACAGACGTCACAATAAAATGGAAACAAGTTAATTAACAAACTGTTAAACTTTACTTAAACTCAGCTAAAGGTTAATGTGATCATTTAAGCAAAAGAAGGTGTACTTTTAATGTCTTGAGCAAATTAGAATTGCATGTAAAAATGCAGAAAATAGAACTTTATTGGCCTTTATGCAATACTATTGTACAAAATTAATAATGCACATCGCCATAAATACAGCATCAATAATCTTAAGTATGGTCATGGCAGTATCATGCTGTGGGAATGCATGTCCTACAAGAATGCTAGACAGAGTAGTTGGATGGATCTACAAGACAACCCTTTATTGGAAATGTGAAAATGTTTCAAGGGGATATTTATGCTAGACAATATTATTTGCATTAAATAGAGAGCAATCTTGGAAGAACTGTAAAAGGCTGCAAAATACAAAACATTACCATTTATATAAATTAAATCTGACTGCAGAAATATAAAATTGCACAGTAAATAAGCAAACTGTTCTATTTTCAATGTGAGAAGAGTATCATTATATGTGCAAATATATTATAGAGACAACCCTAAGATGAAAATTACAATAATTTTAATTTGTAAAAAAAAAAATAAATAATAATAATAATAATAATAATAATAATAATAATAATAATAATAATA